TATTAAGCAATATAGGCCTATATGCCTGCTGAACGTTATATATAAAATCTTTACTAAAGCATTAATGCTTAGGCTTGATAAGGTGATGGGAAGAATCATTAATAAATGCTAGTCCGGCTTCTTAAAAAACAGAAATATTATGGATGGTATTATGGCTTTGCACGAAATTCTGCATGATACTAGAATCAAGAAGAAAGATGGGTTGGTGCTGAAGCTAGATTTTGAAAAGGCTTACGATAAGTTGAATTGGGACTTCCTTTTTGAATGTCTCAAACAGAGGGGTTTTGGTGATAAATGGTGTGAGTGGATAAAACTAGTTATGGTTTCTGGAACAGTTAGTGTTAAAGTGAATGATACTAATGGGAGTTACTTTAAATCTGGTAGGGGTGTTAGGCAGGGAGATCCTTTGTCTCCTTTCCTCTTTAACATCGCCGCCAATACCCTTGCTAAAATGATTTCTCTTGCGCAAAGAAACAAGCTGATTCAAGGCCTTGTGCCCGAGTATATTGAAAATGGCGTTGCTATTTTGCAGTACGCGGATGACACAATTCTGTGCATCCAGGACGACAAGGAGCAGGCTTCTCATTTGAAATTGCTCTTATACTTATATGAGTCCATGTCTGGGTTAAAAATCAATTTCTCAAAGAGTGAAGCGATTATGATAAGTCAGGATGATACTAAAAACCTTGAATTTTCTAACATGTTTAACTGCGCTATTGGGAAGTGGCCTATCAAATATCTTGGAGTCCCTGTGGCTGGCTCCAGGCTTCATGTGGCTGACTGGATCCCAATCACTGAGAAATTCCTCAGAAGATTGGATGGTTGGAAAGGTAGTGCTTTAACTCTTGGGGGTAGGCTGGTGTTGATTAACTCCTGTCTGAGTAATCTCCCAGTCTATGCTATGTCCATGTATTGGCTACCTGTGACTACTTTAGACAAAATGGATACTGTCAGAAAAAGATTTTTCTGGCAAGGGGGGGAATTTGAGAAAGAAATATCATTTGGTGAAATGGGTTAATATTACTAAGCCAAAAGATAAAGGAGGGTTAGGTATCAAGGATTTAAGGACAATGAATATCAGCCTGCTTTGCAAGTGGTGGTGGAAGGCTGAGAATGGTACAGGTATTTGGCAGGAGATTGTGAGTAAAAAATACCTGAAAAAAGGAGGCATTGTGTTTCTGAAGAAAAGTAACAAGAATTCCCCTGTGTGGAATGACTTGCTCAAAGTAAGACACATATATCTTAAGGGGAGATCTATGATTGTGGGTAATGGGAAATCTACAAGTTTCTGGCATGATAGGTGGTGTGGGTTAGTTTCCCTGGCTGAAAAGTTCCCTAGGCTTTATGAGATTAATAAGGAGCAGGAGTGTTCGGTGGAGATTGTTAGAGAATGACCAACCGGTATTCTATTGAAGCCCAAAGGGGCAAATATACAGTATACATATGCAAAGAAGCCCTCCAAGTAGAGGGAAAATAGATATACATCCTATACATCTACCCCCCCCCCTCAAACTCATGATGGATCTACAACACTGAGTTTGGAGAGCAAAAAACTATGTTGTGCCCGTGTCTGTGCCTTGGTGAAGAAATCCGCTAGCTGAACTTCTGAAGGCACATGGTGGAGGGTCACAACCTGATTGTGCACCACGATCTCATGTAGAAAGCATCAACGCCAATGTGTTTGGTGAGTTCATGCTTGACGGGGTCCCGAGCAATGCTGATCGCACCAGTGCTGTCAGAAGAGAGAGGAGTGGGTGCAGTGACAGGCACACCAAGATCCTCAAGGAGCCATCGTAGCCATGTCACCTCCGTAGTCACAGTCGCCATAGCACGCAACTCAGCCTCAGCACTCGAGCGGGAAACAGCAGTCTGCTTCTTGGTTTTCCAGGCAATCAAGGAGGAGCCTAGGAAAACACAATAAGCTGAGAGAGAGTGGCGGTCTGCGTGGTCACTCGCTCAGGTCGCATCAGAGTATGCCTGAAGCTGAAGAGAACTAGAGCGAGAAAAGAAAAGGCGGCGAGAGATAGTTCCACGAAGATATCGTAGAACATGAAGGAGATGAGCATAGTGGATCTGGGTAGGAGCCGAGACAAACTGACTCAAGATCATAGTTATTGTGGCGTCGCCATATCGTCGCCATATCTCCATGGCGGTTTTGTGGCTCTCGCCACGGCGACGCCACGGCTCTCGGCGTGTATGGCGTCCGCCATAGCGCCGTGGCGTCCCCGTGGCGCCGATATGGCGTCCTGTGGCGCCGTAGTGCGCTGTGGCGGGCGCCATACACGCCGAGTCTAGGCATGGGCGGAGCCAGTGGGCTGCACGGGTATGGCGAGGCATACCTAGGCCCAGCCCAACAAGAGGTATTACGTAAAAAAATCTCTCTTCCTTTCCCGCAGACCGCACCCGCTCCAGCGCTCCCCTGGCCACGAGCGCTCGTCCTCGGCGGCTGGCGGCGGCGCCCTGCCCTTTCCCCCGGCGTGCCCCGTCCCCGATGGTCGGCCTCAGCTAGCAGGGCCCTGCCCCGGGCTCCCGCCTCCCACCTCCAGGACGGCCCCGACGCCTCAGCGGCCAGCGCGGCAGCGCCTTCTAGTGAGAGCTTCTCCCTCCATTCTCTCCTCTTCCTCTCCCCTCTTCCTCTCGCACCGCCCCCTTTGGTTACTCCGCTCCCACCTTGCGCTCTCGTCCGCGTCCTCCCTGCCCCCGCCTCTCACGGATCTGATCGCTGCGGGGGTGTGCAATCGCATCGTGAATTTGCTGGCCTCGCTAGCTGTTTTTTTTGTTGGTTGGTTGATTGATCTGCCGTGCGTGCTTGTTTCACTTACCCAAGCCGATTAGGTCGCGCAGATCCTTGGCATGCTTCTCTGAGCGACACAGGGATTTCCGTTCACGATCCACTGTCTCCGTCTCCGCGAATCGGTCTCACTTGTGTCCCTCCTACATCGCTAGATTTGGCCGTAGCGGCAGGGTTGAACGGAGAACCAGGGCGTGCGCCGTAGAAATGGAACAATCCCGTGACCCCCTCCCTTTAGTTTTACATTTTGCTGACTTTGCTGTTGCTGGTTTATGTGCCCCATGCCATGGTCACAGGTTTTGGCATTGCCCCATGCATAGGACAAGATTATTTACGCAACCCCATGGAATTGAGCCCGGGAATTAGGGATGTATTGCATTGGTCAATTACATGTGTATTATGCAACTTGGTTGTAGGATCCGTGAACTATGAAGCTTTATAAAATCAGAAATATCTGTATTGTAATTTAAGACTTATTATGCCATTTAGTAGTTGTGTACCGAATTGTAGGGCAATTTTTATGAAACTTTACCGAATTGCTAAATGAATTTTACCGGTTTTGCATATGAAAATTTTGGTTCAGCATACCCTACGCAAAAATCTTGGTTCCGCCACTAGTCTAGGGTATAGCCTCTGTTCTTCAATCTTCAACGCCTCAACGCCCTTCTTTTTTTGGACAGAAGTACAGAACATGGCTACTCAAGGGACTGGAAGCGCGGAGGCCTCGGACGCGGCATCAAATATTGATCCAAAGACTGATCCAAAGCGGAAGTCGGCAAAGTCAAATGATCCTAGGTGGAAACATGGATTTTGGCCAACCATTGGCAATAGAGATGTTGTGCAGTGTTGCTTATGTGATAGAAGAATAATTGGAGGAATTACAAGGCTCAAGGAGCATCTTGTGGGTGGTTATGGAGATGTTCAGAAATGTGTCAAAACCACAACAACTATTGCACGAGAGATGCAAGATGCTATGAAGAAGAAGAAGAGACCACTCGTCCTTGATGATGAAGAAGGAGAGCAACAAGGGGAAGATGATGTGATTGTTTTGACAGAGGAGTCCCAAGATGTTGCTAGAAGCATTGTGCATCCTAGTTCAGGGACAGCTGCCAAAAGGAAACAATCCACATTGAAGTTCAGTGCTCCAAAAGAGCCTAGCAAGTCAGTTGGTTCAATGCTTCGGAGAACTCCAATAGAGGTTGTGGAAGAAAGACACTCGAAGGGTCCTTCTCAAATCAGTATTCAAGCAAGCATGAGGACAAAGGAAGAAAGAGAAGGCATCAACTTAGAGTGGGCGAGTTCTTTTATGAGTGTGTCATACCATTCAATGCAAGTAAATTCTAGGCGGTTTGAGATTGCTATAGAGGCCCCTTTGACAAGATGCAGTTACGGGTATAAACCTCCTACCTACCATGAGCTTAGGGAGCCATTGCTCCAAAAGGTTGTTAAGGAGACAAATGATTTGAGGAAGAAACATGAGGAAGCATGGAAACAATATGGCTGCACATTGATGTCAGATGGATGGACGGATAGGAGGGGGCATCATTTGATCAACTTTCTAGTCAATAGTCCGGAGGGACTTTCTTCTTGGAGTCAATTGATGCATCAAGTGAAGTTCATGATCGGTGATGTTAGCTGATTTGTTAGAGAAGAAAATCATGGACATTGGAGTAGATAAAGTTGTGCAAGTTGTCACCGATAATGGAGCTAACTATAAAGCGGTGGGCAAGCTTCTCATGGAGAGGTTTCCTACACTTTATTGGACTCCTTGTGCTTCACATTGCTTAGACCTTATGTTGGAAGACGTAGGGAAGTTGAAGGAATTTAAGAAGCCTATCTCATGTGCCCCGCATGTCACTACTTTCATCTATAGACATGGAAGACTTCTTAGTGCAATGAGGGAGAAGACAAATGGGAGGGATCTTGTGAGACCCATGACCACTCGGTTTGCTACCACATTCCTCACCTTGCGAGTTTGTACAAGCACAAAGATGCATTAAGATTTACATTTACCACCGAGATTTGACTGGTTGCAAACTATCAAAGACAGAGGCCGAGAAAAAAGTGTATGATATTGTGCTTTCTAGGGAGTTTTGGAACTCCGTTGAGGATTGCCTTAGAGCTTCTCTACCACTTATCATTGTGTTGAGGGTGGTTGATGGTGATGAGAGGCCTGCCATGCCGAGAGGTTTCTTTGTTCTCATGAATCATGCAAAAGAGAAGATCAAGGCTAGCTTCTCTACTGAAAACAAGAGAAGCTTGCTCAACAAGATCATATCTGATTATTGAGAACCGTTGGGATAGGCAAATGGATACCCCACTCTATGGCGCTGCCCTCTTTTTGAACCCAGGAAAATTCTATACCATCCAAAAGGAGAATGATGAATATGTTGGTCATCAAAGGGGTTGTTTCAATGATGTGCTTGCACAAATGGTGGAAGATGAGAGCATTCGAAACAAAATTGATCAACAATCCATGCTCTATGAAGATCAACGTGGAGATATCTTCAAGAATTGTATGGCCCTCCAAACCATGAAGTCAAAGAACCCTCGTAAGTGATTTAAAATTTTAATTGCTGCATGTTATTTAAGGCTTAAATCCTAATATATGAATGTGTATTGTTAATTTAGTTGATTGGTGGTGTACGTATGGTGGCCGATCCATTGACCTACAAAGATTTGCAAAGCGTATTGTTAGTCTTTGTGCTTCATCATCCGGTTGTGAGCGTAATTGGAGCACTTTTGAATTTGTAAGTAAAGTACTCAAGTTCCATAATTCAATTGAATGAAACCGGTTGAAGCATATTTTATTAACTTTGCTTGCTTTATGATCAATTGTAGATTCATACTAAGAAGAGAAACCGGCTGGAGCATAAAAGATTGAATGATTTGGTTTATGTTTCCTATAATCGGAAAATGACTAGTAGGTTCCGAAAGCGTCGCGAGGAAGCGGGTAAAAGCTATGACCCTTTGGTTATAGAAGATTTTGATTGGAACAATGAATGGGTAGACCCAATGGCCCAACCTGAAGGTGCTCGTGGTTCGGACCTCACATGGGAACAAGTTGATGAAGCCATTGGTGCATCACGTGAGCTTCGAGGTCGTAATCTTCCTAGGACCTACGCTCGTCGTGCAAGGCATATATCAAGAGTGGTTGAAGAAGATGAGGAAGAGGGAGAGGAAGAAGAGATCATTTTGGATGATGATGATATAGATGATTTTGGTGAACAACCAATGGATGCTACTGAAGATGGTGGAGAGAACGTGGATGCTTCTAACGATCTCGATGAGTTTGCATTGGATGACTTTTGAGAGATGAGAGATTTGGAAGTTTGAGAGATGAGAGAGTTCTATGTCTTTTGTGCTACATTTACATTGCTATTTTGATTTGCTAATATTGTAGACTATACCTTTTAAGCTACATTTGCATTACCATATGTCAATATAATTTCCTAATATCCTAGACTATAATGTATGTATTCGCCACGTCGATGTGTGTATGGCGTCGCCACGCCGCGCGCCATAGACGCTGTAAAGGTGTGAAGGTGGTGGGTCGCCGTGCCTCGCCACGCCATCGTAAAAACTATGCTCAAGATATGGACAGGGTGAGTAATGTCAGGACGGGTGATCCCAAGGTAAACAAGGCTCCCAACAAGCTGACGATAGCGAGTGGGATCAGCAAGTGGTGCACCGTCAGTGGGTCTTAGGTGAACACCAAGCTCCATAGGAGTATCAACAGTGCGGCGATTAGTGAGAGCAGCACGGGAAATGAGGTCCTGAGTGTACTTCTCCTGAGAGAGGAAAATACCATCAGAGGTGGAGGTGACCTCAAGACCAAGGAAGTAACGAAGAGGACCCAAATCAGACATCAAAAATTTCTCACTGAGACGCTGCTTCACAAATGCAATGTGCTGAGAATCGTCACCCATGATGATCATGTCATTGACATAGAGAAGAAGAAGGGTGCGACCACGAGGAGAAGTGTGGACAAAAAGAGCAGGATCGTGGTCACTAGGCTTGAAGCCAGCATCGATGACAACAGAGGAAAAACACTCAAACCAAGCCCGAGGAGCTTGCTTAAGGCCATAGAGGGAACGACGCAGCCGACAAACAAGACCATCAGGCACATAATATCCTGGGGGTGGCTGCATATAGACTTCCTCTTGGAGCTCACCATTGAGGAAGGCATTCTTGACATCCAACTGAGAGATCGACCACTGACGAACGGTTGCAACAGCAAGAAGAGTTCGAACAGTAGTCATGTGAGCAACAGGAGCAAAAGTCTCCTCAAAATCAATACTGTACTCCTGTTGGAAACCCCGTGCCACAAGACGAGCCTTGTAGCGCTCAAGAGAGCCATCAAAGCGAGTCTTGACCTTGTACACCCACTTGCAGGTGATGGGAGTGACATTAGAAGGCAAAGGGACAAGATCCCAAGTACCAGTACGCTCTAGGGCAGCAATCTCCTCAGCCATAGCATGCTGCCACTCGTGATGAGCAACAGCCTCCCGATAGGTCGTGGGCTCAGCCAAAATGGCAGCAGTGAAACCAAGGCGATCGGGAGGCCGAAGGGTGCTATGGTCACAAAGAGCATAACGGGGCGGAGACTCAGGAGGAGGTCCAAGGACAGACGGGGAAGAGTCAAGTGACGGTGCCGGTCATGGACGACGAGTGTAGAAGTGAGTGACCTTACGGGAAGGACACACCGGGGATGGGGCCGGAGAGACCGATGGTGGAGAGGTAGGAGGAGATGGTGAAGGTGGAGGAGGTGGGGAAGGTGAAGAAGAAGGATGAGGAGAGAGAGGTGGGGAAGTAGGAGAAGGTGGCGAAGAGGATGGAGACGGCAACAGAAGATACCATTCAGGTAAAGTAAGGAACGAGAGGTCCTCAGCAGTACCAAAAGGACCGGAGGAGGGACGAGGATAATACGACCGAGACTCATTGAAGGTGACATCCCGAGAAATCCTCATCCGACGAGCAACAGGGTCATAGCAGCGATAACCCTTATGTTCGGTACTGTACCCAAGGAAAACACACTCAATAGACTGAGCAGTGACTTTGGTGCGCTCACGAGGCGGAAGAAGGACGTAACAGACACACCCAAAGCAACGAAGATGGCTATAGGAAGGAGGGGTGCTGAAAAACCGCTCATAGGGAGTGCAGCCCTGGAAAACAGTAGAAGGTTGGCGGTTTATAAGAAAAATAGCCGTAGAAACCGCCTCAGCCCAGAAATGAGGAGCAAGCGCAGAAGAGATCAAGAGAGCACGAGCAGTCTCAAGAATGTGACGATGCTTTCGCTCAGCAACACCATTTTGAGCATGAGCACAAGGACATGAAAACTGGGCAAGGGTACCCTGCTCAGCAAGATAGGAACGATGAGCAGTAGAGATATACTCACCAGCAGAGTCCGCACGAAAAACACGAATGGAAGAGCTATACGGAGTGCGGATCATGGTGGCAAATTGCTGGTAAATAGAAAGGAATTGACCACGAGAAGACATCAGATAAATCCATGTAAATCGCGAATAGTCATCAATGAATAGAACATAATATGATTGACCCCCTTTTGAAACAAAAGGTGCATGACCCCATACATCAGAGTGAACAAGATCAAAAGGTCTCTGAGACTTGGACTCACTAGATGGATAAGGGAGTTGCAACTGTTTGCCAAGTTTACAACCCATACAATGGAGAGCAGTGTCACTAGAAACAGGACCTAAAACACCGCTACCAACAAGAGTGGATAATCTAGAACCAGAGAGGTGGCCAAGACGGCGATGCCACTGTGCAAAAGTAGGAGAAGATGAAGTGGCGAACGCAGAGGCTGGAGAACTGGATGACGAAGGAGCCAAGACAGGTGAAGGAAGACACAACCAATCAAGCTCCCATAGGCGCTGTGAGTCCCGACGCCTAGGCCTAGTTCCCACCAAAAGGCCCGTACGGAGGTCCTGAACACAACAAGAATCAGACTCAAGGATTATGCGACAGCCATGATCAGTGATTTGACCCGCAGACAACAATTGCATGGTGAGTTTTGGAACATGCGAAATAGTAGGAACATCAAAAGAAAATGTCAAAAGAACACCTCTCCCAGCAACAGGAAGTGAAGTGCCATTTGCGGTGCGAACAAATATAGGAGGATCGAGGGAAGACACAGAGGACAAGTGTGTTGAATGGGGTGTCATATGAAAAGAGGCACCAGAGTCAAGGAACCACGGGGATGATGTACCTGACGGAGGAGAAGGAGCAGAACTAGAAGCCTGAGCAGTAGTCCCGGAAGCAGACTAAGCAGTAGTCTCAGAAGCAGAGGCTTGAACTGCAGCAGTAAGGCGACGAAACAGGGCAAGAACCTCCTGTTCCGCTGCAGACACGGAACGAGTGCCCTGAGAGGGGCCCTGAGAGGAGCGCCTGCCACGACGTCCTGGTCGGTCGCGCTGCTTCTTGCGACAATCCTTCTCCTCATGACCATAGAGCTTGCAGTAGCCACACTGAACACCAGAGGGTACCCCCGCCACCACAAGAGAGGGCTGAGACGAAGGCGGGGAGGCCTGTGGAGGTGTGGCTGCCAGGACGGAGGGCTGTGCTAGAGTGTGACTCACAACCTCAGCTCGAAGACGTGTCTCCTCAGCTCGTAGCTCAGGCATTGCCTCGGATAGCGATGGGCGCGGACGACGAGTCAGTAGCTGTGCCCGAACAGTCTCGAACTCAGGACGAAGTCGAGAGAGAAACTCGTGAAGGCAAAGGGTGTCTCTCTGGTCCCGGTGACGGTCACAACACCGGCAGGTACCACCACCACAGAACTCAGCGCCCAAATTGTCCAGGCGATGCCAGACATCTGTCATCTGACGGTGGAAGGCCTCGATTGTAGAGTCAAGCTGACGAAGTGACTGAGCCTCCTCAACAACAGCAAGGTACATCGCCTCGTTACGAATCTCATAACTGCGATGGAGGTGATCCCACATGAGGTGTGAGGTGGGGAGACCTCTGAGGGACCGTGCGAAATCGATCTCCATGCTCGCAAGTAAGATAGCCTTAGCAGATTTTTCCTCGCGTAGCCAAGTCTCATAGAGACCAAGATCAGACCGGTAGCTCTCCATCTGAGCCTCAAAGGCATCAAGTAAGGCACTCTTGGCATCATCATCAGCATCTGGCGGATATGTGGGCGGCGTGGGGAGAACAGGACATGGAGGACAGATCTGATCGCCCGTAAGGTAGCCCCACAACAGTTGTCCATCCATGTGGACCTCCATGTGAAAAACAAAGTCGCCCCAGTTCGTGCCATTGAAAATGATAGGACACTTAGGGACAGCAACATCACCCGGACGACCAGGGGACGCCATGGGAGAAACCAACGAGCTTTTTTTTTGGCCTGCAGACTACGAGCGTCGGAAGTCCCGAGTTCTCAGTCGGAAGTCCCGACGTAAGAGAAGGAGGAGGACCTCTCTTTTTTTTTGAAATAAAAGGAAGGAGAAGGAGGCTGACTGACCGGCTCGCGACTCACGCGAGGTTAAAAAGGAGCAGAGGACGGCGCGGCGCCAGGAAGGCCGCGCGGGGGGGCACACAGGAGGCTTCGTCCCCCGTGGCTTGGGCGCGGGCCAGGAAGTGGCGCTCGGCCTCCATCCAGGCGGCGCGGGCGATGGCGCAGGCGTCCTCGCGGGCGGCGCGCGCGGAGGAGCCGGGAGCCCGGGGCCGAAGAAGGGGTTGGAGGCGCACGGCGCTCGCGCCGAAGGGGTTGGCCTCGGGCCGGCCCCCGTGCTCCTCGAAGGCGGCGCGGCCGACGAGCGCATCGAGGCTGCCCCAGTTCTGGCGCAGCGGGCACTGGCACGGCGCGGGCGGCGGACGGGCGGCTAGCGCGGATGGCCGCGGCGGAGCAGCGCGGCAGTGAAGGTGAGTGGAATCAAAAACCTAGCGTCTTGATACCATGTTAGAGAATGACCAACCGGTATTCTATTGAAGCCCAAAGGGGCAAATATACAGTGTACATATGCAAAGAAGCCCTCCAAATAGAGGAAAATAGATATACATCCTATACATCTAACAGAGATCATGAAAAATAAAAATTGGCGCCTTACTTTTAGAAGATGGTTATATGAAGACTTTCAAATCCAGTTAAGGCGTTTGCAGGACATTGTTTTTAGATGTGCTACTCATGATTGTAAAGATGAGGCTAGATGGGATTGGGAAAAATCTGGTATTTTCTCTGTGAAATCAGCTTACAAACATTTGTGTAAGAATGATTTTGGCGCCGACTTCAAGAAAATTTGGAAAGCTAAAATTCCCCTTAAGATTAAAATCTTTATGTGGCTTGTTTCCCAAGGTGTTATTTTGACTAAAGACAATTTATGTAAAAGGAAATGGAAGGGCAATACATCTTGTGCTTTTTGCCCGAACCAGAAAATGGAAATCACTTATTCTTTGGTTGTCCTACTGCTAAGTACATCTGGAGTTTATTGGCCTTCTCTCTGGGGGCTAACTGTAGACCTTGGAAACTTGGATCAATATTGGGTTTGGATTGACAATGTTTTACCTCAAGGGCCACAGATGCACGCGGTTGGTCTAGCTGCAGTCTGTTGGGCAATTTGGCGCATCAGGAATGCTGTGTGCTTTGATAACAAACGCGTGAAATCTCCTACTGAGATTGTTTGTATGATTTGCTCGTTTCTTATGTATTGGGCAGGTTTGCTGAAGGAAGACTTGGGACAGCAGGTCGCCCAGGGTGCTGAAGCTGTGAAGACGGCGGCGTTACTCTTTCACAAGCAGGAGATGCGGTCGCAGGCTCAAGATGAGAGGCAGCTGATCCATTTTGTTGGTTAAAGGCCTGAAGTTGTGCGTTTGGTAGCTGTTATGACATACAATAATTAGCCCACCATAAAAATTTCATCACAATTAGACCATAGAAGCTGTAGCTATGAATTATTCTATTTAATTATAGAAAAAAATAGATCTAAAGCTACAACAAAAAATTTGTACTAAAGAATATCATATTATATGTTCACTATGTAGATCTACTCATGTGGAGTCCAACAAATTTAGATTTTTCATTTTATGATTTTTATGTGATTTACTATGATTTTTCAAAGATTCAACGAAAATAAATAAAAAAAGACAAAATAACCGTAGCCTGTCTAAAACTGCTCGAGGGGTTATTTAACCGGCTTTGAAAAGTTTAGGGGTAGAAAATCCAGTTTTATAATTTGGGGATGAAGTAATCCATCCTAAATAGTTGGAAGTTATATAGACTTTTTTCAATATTGGTAGGGCTGCGCGAACGCGACCCCTCTACAACAAATTATGACGTCCGCGCGAACGTAGACCCCATCTACAACAAATTATGATGTCTACTCTCACACTTAGGGACCCCATCTACAATAAATTATGCTTAGGGAGATGGTGCCACTCTCACACTTAGGGAGATGGTAGGATAGCACTTCTCCTTGTGAGATGGTAGGAGTGTGAGATGGTAGGATAGCACTTCTCCTAAGTACAATGGAGGCTGGCCATAAGTATTTTTGATCGCTCATTGACCCCGTTTATGTAAGTATGGCTCAAGGCTGCACCCAGCTGTTGTTTTGTAGCCTTTCTAAGTTATCACCAAGATTAGGGAGACAATACGGCACTAAACGGAGACTAACCCCCCTGTCCTTCCTGCGCTGCAAGTTGATTAGCGCACTGCGCGCCATAACACAACGTAGCGGGGATCTGTGATGACATGATGATCCATTTAAGGTCTTTTGGTATTCGTCCTGTTGGGCTCCGAAAGCACATTGAAGTTGGTTTAAGTCCGTGGCCCAAACGAGAATACGGTGGCCAGCGATAGCGACGAGTGGGGCTTGACGTGCCTGCCTGTTCTTGGCCACCCCGCCCGCTGCAACTGCAAGATGGTGCCGGCGTCACCGTGTCCTGCGAGGCTACGACGCGGGGAAGCGGTGACTGGTAACTGGTAAGGACGAGCTCGCGCCGATGATAAAGAACCCTTGCCCATCTACATGGAACCCGCCTCGAGCAATCTTCAGGATGGCAGAGGCTGCCATTCTGCCAAAGGTGCTAAGCAGGTAGCAGCAGCAACTGACCAGTAGAGTTTTGTCTTCTGCTTCTACCCGACGGATATGCTTGATGTTTAGCATACCTTTTGGCTCGCTATGGATGAACTTATGTCAGTTTAAATTTGTTGTTTTTTGTATCTGATTTTTCTTCTAAGGCTGTTATTACATATTCACATCGATATGGTGCCATGGATGGTTAGCGGACCGCTATGATATCTATACAGAATGAATTCAGATCCAGTCCACTAATCCTAGTTACTGTGGAAAGCATTGTCCTACCATTTGAATCAGAGGTCCCTAACCGTAAGGGCTTCACCAATTCAAGAGAACTGCTAGAGGGAATTCAAGATGAATTTAACTTATAGGGGTAAAATCTCCCTAAAATCGTCTCGAATTGGAGACTAATCGAACAAGTTCTAATAGATTGCGCCTGGAACACTCCAAGAGAACATCAATTGTTTTGCAATGCACACAACTTAAAGATCCAACACAAAAGCTAGTGATAAGGAGCCAGCGAGATGGTATCTTGCCATTGCTACAGCCTACATGTATTTACCCCAATGTTACGGCATATAAGTAACTAACTTAAAATTTCCATTTGTCGATAGATATGGGGCAGAGGAAAGGTATGCTTACCTAGCACTTATTAAGGACCTTAAAATATTCCAATTATAAAGAGCTCGCTATATTTGAATTTTACGCAATATGTTTACAAAGCAATCTACTTGTAAGTTTTGTACAAAGAATACTAAGGCCTGTTTGATCCCATAGTCTAAAGTTTAGTTAGAAAGTTAAGGGCTAAACTTTACACCATTTTAGTTTACTTTTGTGGTCTAATGAACCAATGCCTTTTTGTGAGATTAATTAAACTTTAGATCCACCTTGAAGCCTTGAGTGAAAGTGGTCTAAAGTTTAGACCCTAAATTTTATACCATGGAATCCAAAAAAACTCTAAGGATACATTTGGATCCTTTCATTTTCGAGGAATCGAAATATACCTTTTGAACTAGACTAGTTGACTTAGAATTTGACATTCTACAACTTTCTATAATTTAGATATAAGCTTACCTTAAATTTATGTGGTGAGAGATAGAAATTGATTCCATAGATCCTTATATTATGTTTCTACCTTGCAACTTATATTACACTCTTCGGCTCGCTCCTATGTAGCAGAAGTGCAGCACATAAGTGTCTTTTCCATATGGCCAACAGTAGTATATAATTATATTTGACATGTGTCCATATTAACCTAAGTGATATGTGTCTAAAACTCTAAATTATGGTTATTAGGATGAATTTTAATTCTAAGGATCCAAACAGAGCTACTTGTTTTTTTATATATACGTAACACATTAGCTTGTGGAATAAATGGAGGATATGAGAGTAAATAGACAAGGGGCGGGGCAAGGACCAGTTCGCCTTTGGAGGCTCCGCCTTGCAGGAAAGGGACAAAAAAAAAAACTGACTGTCTCTGCACAATGAAGCCTAGGTCACATGTACCATGACTGACGACGGCGATTTTAGCCGTGAAATCAACCAGACCTTGCGCAACAACATTTTTGTCATGTCATCATCAACTTGTGAAGCCACACATCAACTTTCAGCTGTCCACCTACCTGATCGATTCCATGCCGAAGTAAACAACACATCTTGAAAAACTCAATTACACCATACTTGTTGAGATTCATTCTGCCATACCGAGAATCTAGTAGTACAATACCACCATGATTGATTCTGGCTGTAAGGATAAAAATCGTCCTCGAAAATGATCCGGCCATGACCCACCAACAACTCGCAACTAATTTGAACAAGTAGCGCAACTGCAAACTCAACTACTCAAGTTTACTTCGTTTGCAGGAGGGATATCTTGTACTAGTAGTTATGACATGGCGGTACTTGAGGACACTGGACTTGAGAGCTTTATCTTCATACTTAGTTTTGCTCTTTCCTTTCAGGCCCCGTTTGGATTATCAGACTAAAGTTTAGTCCGTCGTTGAATAATAGATTAAACATAGACTAATTAAAAATTTCTTTTTTCTAATAGTTCTACTCATCAATTTGCCTCCATTAGTTTTTGTTAGACCATGATTAGTTAATGTTTGAGCCTTCTATTTGGCATTCAAAGGACCTCAACTGAACTTTAATTGTGACGGGATCAATTACCACCACTGCATGAGAGGAGCCCATTAACGAGCAGTAAAAAAGGAATCCTCCAATGATGACCATTTATCAATTGATTACTAGTTAGTGATGTCTCTTTTCTTCAAAAAAAAAAAAACAAGTAGGTTACATATAAGCTTTGAAATTCGTTGAGTTTAATTTAGTGTTGTTTTGGTTTGTTGTAAGTAGTGTTTTTTTTCAATTCTATGTTCCGTCCCAAAATAAATTAAGTTCTTGAGTCCCCTAAAATCAAACTACCTTAAGTTTGAACAATTTCATATATCATTTATGACACCGAATAAATACATTATGTAAATATATTTAATGATGTATCTAATGATACTAATTTAATATCATAAATATTGATTTTTTTCTATAAACTTAGTTACACTTAAAATATTTTGACTTAGAATAAGTCTAAAAGTTGATTTATTTTGTGACACAGAGTATTTAAGAAACAAAGATTTGCATCATGATATACTGCTGTACTCCGTATTTTTTTTCTCTTTTTGAAAAGGAAAAAAAAAGGTCAGCGTGTGATGGGCTGATCGCCTCTACAGGGGTGGCGAAAACCGACAAGCTATCTCCAAGTGTTCTTCCTATCCTTCCCTCAAAGAAACGTGTTCCCAAATGCAATCTCACGCTGACTCGGCGTTATAATCATTGGCGCGATTTCTCGGTTTCTCCTGGCACGCGATTTGTATAGAGTCGTTCGTCTTCGTCATCACTCATCTCATCGTGCCGGGGTTTGGATTTTTTATTTTGAAGGATTGAGTCGTTCGTCTTCGACATCACTCATCTCATCGTACCGGGATTTGGATTTTTTTATTTTTTTTGAAGGATTGAGTCGTTGGTCTTCGTCATCACTCATCTCATCGTGCCGCCTCGTTTACCTCAACCTCAAGGTTGTTTTTGTTGCTTCCTTGACTCCACCAGTTGCCCCGCCGATCACCAGAACTCCACGCACGGCTCCGTCTCCACTCCGAGCCGCAAAAGCCACCAACCCTTCCGTGATGGACCCCACGTCGCCGTCGCCCGCGGTCCGCCGCGCCGCCGCCATCGCGCGCCACCTCGCTGGCGCCACCGCCCCCATCCCGGCGAGCACTCCCCTGGAACCTTCCTGCTGTCTGAGCTACGTCCCGCCGGAGTCCACCGAACGGCCGGCGGCGTTCGCGCCGGGCGACCTCAGGCTTCTGCTGGACGGGCACGACCTGCCCGCGCGCGATTGGCTCTTCCGCGTCATGGAGGAGAGCCCCCTTTTCCGCAGCCCGAGCGCGCGGACGGGCTCCAGGGTGTTCGTGGGGCCGGACTTGAACGACGGCAAGGAAGGGCAGCGGGAGGCCACCATGCGGCGGATCGCGTACCTGAAGCAGCGCGGCGTGTTCCGCGGGTGGCTCACAGAGGACAGCGCTGACGCCGAGCTCCGCAAACTAGCGCTCCTCGACTGCATCGCCATCTATGACCACTCTCTCGCCATCAAGATTGGCGTCCACTTCTTCCTCTGGTAATTTTTGCTGCAACTATTTGCAGCGTTATTGGCTGGGTCCTTCGTGCATACGGCATAACTGACTGCTTATATGCTTATTATTCCCCATTCCCAGGTTTGGTTCATGGCAAATTGGTAATTTATATTTCACTTTGCCTTCGATTTAAGTTCCATCCAGTGTTTTCGATACACTATGAGCTTCTGATTCTTTTGGGTGTCTTGTGTCGTTATTTTTTAAGAAAATGGCAGGAGCTAAACAACAGAACCCAAAGTTTTGCCTTAACGGTAGACGCGCCTCAAGAGGCTACAAGAAATCTCCAGTCCCTTGGGATAGAAAAACCCTAAAGAAACGGAAACAAAATGCACACGAAAGGCCTCCAATACTAGTTTTGAAAAGCACGTTGTCCTTGTTCAATTTTCCTCTTTTGTACGTAGTGCAATAGATAGAGGCGTGGCTTGTGTTGTGCCATTGTATAAAATTCTTTTCTTTTCCGTGCTTTTGATTTGTCCTTCGCTTGTGCTGGCTTGGCAATAGTACTAGCAAAAACCTATTGGTTTGTACTCCCTATATCGAAGCCTTTTTTTTTGTCCCAAGTTATAAGGTATTCTAGGTGAATTAACTCCCCCAAAGCACCAATCACATGCATACCTGCCATTTGTGTGTACCACCAGGTGCACAAAATCTCTCTATAGTTAAGAGAGTGTTATTCGTCATTTGTTTTACTCCATAATCTGTCCTAAATTTTCTAGGATACCTTGTATTTCAGGACGGAGGGAGTAACTAATAGTAATGGTGCTGGCATTAACCAGCTGGAAGCTGCGGTTTATGTCAACACCAGGATGCCTTTCAGTATCATTATGCTACTACTCCCTCCATCCCAAATTATAAGTCATTCCAAAAATGTTGGTCATAAATCTTTGTAATTTTCTCTATAATTTTGGTCAAACTTTAGATGCTTTGACTCTCCAAAAATGTTGGAATGACTTATAATTTGGAATGGAGGGAGTAGAATTTAACATCTATCTACACGCAAGTAAATTTGGGCGCCTGGGATTGCTGCCTGGGCCAGGTAGCTTTTCCAGGGTCCAAACCGAACAAGCCTGTGTCTGAGGTTAACCGGTTTACGGAGATCATTCTAGGAGTTTGTTGTGGCTCTTTAGATTAACTTTATCTAAAGTGAATGTTTAGAAATTGTACTACAGCAGGAATGGTCTCGAAGAAGCCAGCATGTTTTTTTTTTGTTAGATTTATTTCCTCTGGTGAGAATGTGCTTATAGTACAGCAGTAAGCCACCTAGTTGTTGGTACTACCAATCAGGGCTTGAACCTCAGGTTCTCACAAAACAATGGGACATTTTTTGTGAGAACTAGAACCACATTCTTGCCCAAGGTCTTAGGTGGAATGTGCTTGTAGTGCAGTGATAAGTCACCGAGAGGCCTTTAGGGCCTTTTCTCAAGGTTAGATGCAATGATTTAGTGGATTGTCTTCCCTCGAGGGCTGAGCTCTTCTTTTTATTTCGTTGGCAATTAATTTATTAAATTTTATTTCCTCATATGGAATATCTAGAATCTTAGGTAAAAGAAACTGATACTGTCATTTGTTACATCATTTACCACATAGTGTTGTATGGAGTTCTTTTGTTTGCAATCTTCTCATGTTTAGTTTGTTAAATTTCTGTATGCATTCCAGGGGCAGTGCCATCAAGTTTCTTGGAACAAAGCGCCACCATGACAAGTGGTTGGTTGCCACGGAAAATTATGATATCATGGGTTGTTTTGCAATGACAGAACTAGGCCATGGAAGCAATGTATGTGCAGAGATTTGGGCTAAGCATCTTTATTATGGTATTATCTCAGTAACTGTGCTGATTAAGTTCTGCTGCTGTTTCTTTATTACAAAAGGTGCGAGGAATAGAGACAATAGCAACTTTTGATTCAGAAACAAGAGAGTTCATCATAAATACTCCATGTGAATCAGCTCAGAAGTACTGGATTGGTGGAGCTGCTAATGTAAGAAAACATTTCGCTTGCCTAACTGTGTGCATCTGCACTCTGCATAAGGTTACAACTTACTAAAGATTTCCATGCCCTTTTGCAGCATGCAACACATACAATAGTCTTTTGTCAACTCCATATAAATGGGAGAAATGAAGGAGTCCATGCTTTTGTAGCTCAAATTAGGGATGAAGATGGAACTGTGTTGCCTAATATCTGTATAGCTGACTGTGGCCATAAGATTGGACTGAATGGCGTTGATAATGGGCGGATTTGGTGAGTACTTGTATTTACCTTTTTTGTATTATTACATACGTCATTCAGTATATATCATTTCTTACTTTTTACCTCTATAACAGGTTTCAGAATATACGTGTTCCTCGTGAGAACTTGCTTAATTTGGTTGCTGACGTTTTGCCAGATGGGCAATATGTTAGCATGATAGATGATCCTGATCAGGTCTCTCTCTCTCAATATGTGACAAGGATTTCTTATTCTTCTTTTTCTTAAGAAGTTGCAATGTTGATTTGCAGAGGTTTGCAGCTTTCCTCTCTCCGCTTACACTTGGTCGAGTAAACATTGCAGTTGACTCAGTCTATATTTCAAAGGTGTGTTGCAAGGCATTTTCTTCTCTTGTAAACACAGAAGAAAATTTTTGCTGATGAATTTAACAAATATAGTCCCCCAACCTCGCAGTAATTTGCTTTTAGAATTTAACGAGTTAATCAAATTTGTCCCAGTAAAAGGTAACCGACCAGCTTGACTGAAGTGGAACATCACTCATTTTGGCAAGGGAAAGATAACAAGTTGAATTGTTTCTCCCAAAACCTAGCTGTAGAGAATAGGAAAGACACCACACCCCCTTACGGTTGGTGATGAGTATTGTGGAGGCCAAAGGGCTCTAGTCCAGATGGCTAGATAATCCCGGTGGCACCTCCCAGGTCCCCGCTGGCCGAGTTTTTGATGAGTATAGTGGATCTGGCTTGTGTTACAAGAAGAGTACAATACAAGATGTATACAACTCTATCTCTAACACTAGCACATTTGAACAAGCAATGAAATTATCTGCGACTTGATTGTTTATTTGAAGGAATTGATTCGACTTTCTGCCAGCAAAGATAGGTTGATTTGTTAAAGAACTAACTTGGGCAAGTTTGACCCTTTACTCAGGAATGTGCCTTGTGTTCAGTGTTGAAGCATGGATACAATCGTATTAGAAATAATGACATGCCTTTTACTTTCCATGCATACAGGTCAGCCTAGCGATTGCTGTGAGATACAGTTTGTCAAGGAGAGCCTTTTCATTTACACCAGATGGCCCTGAAACGTTGTTGCTTGATTATCCCAGTCACCAGCGACGCCTTCTACCACTTCTAGCAAAAGTGTATGCTACTAACTTGCTGTATCTATAGTTAATATTTAATAATAGTCATAATACAAGTTCTTACTCTCGGCTATTTTTGTGCTAATCTAGTTGCTAAGCTGTGCATTATATTACCTTCTTGTGCAAAGCTTCCATACTCTGTAGTTCAAATTAATCCATAGCACTTCTTCCTAACAGTTATCATTTCACTATACTTCCTAGTGCAGATGTCTGATGAGTAGTGCTGTTAATTTTATGAAAAATATGTATGTAAAGAGAACTCCTGAAATGAGCAAAGCCATACACATTTACTCTAGTGCTCTGAAGGCGACACTAACTTGGCAGAATATGATTACGCTTCAGGTATTATTGAGTGTTGAAAGAGCTATTATTATGTTTCTTTATTCCAGTCACTATTTCTCACAGGACTTTCTTTTAAATGTATTAGGAGTGTCGTGAGGCCTGCGGAGGTCAAGGTCTAAAGACTGAGAACCGCGTAGGAATTTTCAAAGCTGAATTTGATGTCCAGTCCACATTTGAGGGTGATAATAATGTTCTAATGCAGCAGGTTATTGTTGTTTTCAGTCATGCATCTGTTTTTAATCAAAGGTGCTTCGTGTGGTTGTAACAATTTAACCTTGTTTAGGTAAGCAAAGCACTTTATGCTGAATTTTTGGGTGCACAAAAGAAGAAGAAGCCATTCAAGGGATTGGGTTTAGAACACTTAAATGGCTCAAGCCCTGTTATTCCTGATAAGCTGACAAGTAGCATATTAAGGAGCTCCAAGTTCCAGGTAAAGAATCATAATTTAGTTTGTTACTTCTAATATGTCCCTGGCATGACATAAACTCAATCTTTGAGTGTCGATTTGTTCACATGAATAGATGGACCTATTCTGCTTAAGGGAGAGAGATTTACTGAAGCAGTTTGCAGAGGAGGTTTCTCTCCAGCTTGCACAAGGCGAAAGCAGAGAAAAGGCTTTGATGCTGGTAAAAATCAGATTTCACTGTGCACTATTGTCCACTGTTCTATAATTTCTGTCATTGATACAAGTGACATTTTCCCAGAGTTACCAACTTGCTGAAGACTTAGCTAGAGCGTTTACTGAGCGTACAATCCTCCAAATATTTTTGGAGGACGAGATGAATGTCCCTTCTGGTTCCCTAAAGGTATATTCACGCAATTGTTTTTAGTCCTCAATTGTATCATTTGCTAGCTACTACAGTTGAATAACAAAATCTTTCCTTTGATCTTTTCATTTCTGAGTGAAATTACGCATAATATTTCATTGTAATGCTTCTGTAACCTTTTGTTATCATTTCCAGGAGGTACTGGGTTTGCTGAGGTCTCTATATGTTATGGTGAACATAGATGAATCCACATCTTTTCTAAGATACGGGCATTTATCACGTGACAATGTAGCCCTTGTGCGGAAAGAAGTCTTGAAACTGTGCAGTGAACTCAGGCCCCATGCCCTTGCTGTTGTCAGTTCTTTCGGAATCCCTGATGCCTTCCTTAGTCCACTTGCTTTTGACTGGATTGAGGCAAATGCACTGTCAACCGGGAGCCACTGATCTCAAGTTTCCACACACGGGCCAGGTTATCCAGTGAAAGTACTGAATATTGATGGCGGAGCATACATGCCATATAGGGTAACCACAGGAGCACTTGTTGCCTCACAACAATTGTTGTGAAGTGTATAGCTGGAGAGGCAGATGCTGGTCCGAGATGCAGGTGGGTGATTCGTGACATCCTGCTTTGTATAATAGTTTTCTTGAATATAAGCGAACGTAGCCTTAGGCTACGGTCCATGTAATGGGTTTACAACAGTAATAACTTGCAGAGTGATGTAACTGTAACCGAGTTGTTGAACAGTAAATAAAGTAAGTCTGTGGTGCTGCTACAGGATGTTCAAGTGTCCCTGAAAGGGAATCAAATAAGCTTGCGACGATCCATGTTCAAATCCATGTTGATATTATTCTTAGTAATATTTTAGGGTTGTCTGAACTGAATAACCTACAATTTTTTTGGGGGGTGGGGTTGGTGTGTGTGTGTGTGTGTGTGTGTGTGTGTGTGTGAGAGAGAGAGAGAGAGAGAGAGAGAGATGGCGTTGGATAAAAGAAGTGCGAATGATTACCTAATTTCAAAGTGAAAAAAAGAAAACTAATTTAGTCGGAATATGCTGCTGCTTGACTGAATATGTCAAAAGGATTTGTAGCATATTGACTATTGAGAGTTTGAGACTATTTGGCTTATGCTGATGCTGATTTGTTGTGAGAGAAAACACTGTTCGTTCGTTGAAAAATACTGCTGAAGTAGTTCATACTTTCCTTTTAACTAGCAGGCCCTCCGCGTGTTGCTGCCGGAGGTCTATTTTAGTTCTCTGTGTTTGAAGTAAAAAATATATGATAAATAGTATAAGGGGCAAATTAAGGAGTATATGTAAGTTTTTTTGGTTATGGTAGCAAGCCCTATGCATGGTACGAAGGCTTTGTGACCACTCAGGTTCACCTTGTAGGTTGTACTTTAGCACTTATAATTTGAAATGGAGGGAATATCATTTACATGGTAGCAATATGCATGGTACGAGACCTTTGTGACCACTCGAGTTCACCCTGTAGGCTGTATCATTTATATTAAGTTGTATTGGTCTAAAGCATCTTGGACATCTCCAAAGCAATGCTACTCACTTTTTTGGAAATTAATTTTAAGGCCCGATGCTTGCTCAAATCGCAGAGCAATAGCTTCATATTAGGAGCTTTTGCCAAATCATGTTCCATAAAAAAGATAGTGTCAGCCGCATCTTTATTATCATTGCTAACATATAAGCCACGATATTAAAAAGTAGCGGACATAGAGGATCTCCTTGTCGAAGTTCTTTTTTAGTTTAGAATAATGCCTGACCTCATCATTAACGTTGACAGCTACACACTAACACACGAGATGAAGGTTGAAGGACTCCACCCAAGTTATCCATTAGGCAAGAAACCTTTCACTAGCAATGATTGAAATAAATAGGTAATCTGTAGAATGGCAACAACAAAATTCTAAACTTGGTACAGGTGAATATGCCTGAACTGGCACCTGCAACTGCAATTGACACCGCTTTTTTGTTGGCTTCTACCTGGACTTATCGACGGATCGCCCGATCCTAAATAGAAAGCAGAGTGCAAAGGAGTCAACTCTCCGGTGATCCTTAGCATGGACGATCTGAAACTAAGAGCAGAGCTAGAGCAAATGCAAAGAGTGCGCTTACCTTTTGGATGCAAGGATAGGTGAAATAAAGGTGTAAATGTAGTGAGAATTTAGCTCTTATTACAGTTTTTCTATTTTTATGTGGGTGCAGTCGTATCCACTGCAGTAAATATAGCTCCACCCCTGCTGGAAACACCGGAATATGTGCTTGTTTGACGGGAGAATATCCATCACCAGGTTTCATAGTTTAAAGGTTAAACATCGAACTGAAGTGTAACTTGAGGTAAAAATGTACTTTACCTAACATAACAGAGACATCCAGTGTTCAAATAGCCTCCTCTATGATCTGTCTTTTTCTCTCTAATATAAAGATGCCCATTGCTTCTTCTGGCAATTCAATACCGAGTCAAATCTGAATCAGAATATCTCAGACAAGTCTGAATCAGAACCTCTCGTCTGAGGCATACAAATCCAGATCATGATACTGACATAATAAGCGAAATAAAGTCAATGATTCCATATTTCCATGGGTCACCTCTTAGAGTAAGAAAATGACCATTCTTCTGGAAAAAAAAAAATCTCCTACACTTTTGTAAGGTTTCCACGACAATTATACAACCAAAAAAATGACATATCTCAGGAATTACACCGATCATCATTGTACAAATGGATGATCAATCAAATCGTAACAAATTAGACCTAGACAAACCCTATCTACAGAACAAATGTCAGTCTCGACAGCAGCTCTTGTCAGTTCCAAAAAGTGCCTGAAAATTACCTCTGCTTGGCAATTCGAAATTCCAAAGGTGTCATCAGATCTTGCTCTGATTGCCTAATGCACCATTGGCTTGTCACACATCAAAACCTTCCTACTGGCATATGCGCCTTCGGCAGTGTCACGTATAGTGCCACGCCACCCCATGGCATTCGTTATTTCTTTGATCTCCTGTATAACTTCTTTCCGGTCACGAATATATGCTTTACCACCTGGTCTGAGTATCCGGTCCATCTCCAGCAAGATGCTAGAGATATTACACCTAGAAATATTTGAAGCGTGTAGTTAGAATTTACATCCTGATCGGCTATCTGGGTAACAGTAGACTCACACAAAAGGTTTAAAAATTATTCACATCCAGAGGTATCTCCACAGATTTAGTTAGAAAGACTTATGAGAAATAATTACACTTCCGTTACTGTTATTAAAGCAAACCAAACAGATATAAAGAATGCCACTTTCTATAAGGAAATAATTGAGGAATGTCTTTTTTTTAGCCCCTCAACTCTAGCGTTTATCTAATTTTTTTCTACCCCCAACTACAATACCATTCAAATCTTATACCCATCTGGCAAAAGTGGTGAATTTTGTAACCCCACCCCCACCCCCCACCCCAAGCAACCCTCAGAATTAAATGTGTTGATTGGATGTAAATCAAAAGATTCGTATGAGATTGTAGGACAAAAACTCCATCTTGCTGTATTAAATATTAATGGTCACAAATGTGTCACGTCACTGCTGATGTGGCACATGTGCTATCGTTGACTCCAAAAACCACTGCAACATAATGCAATGCCGCTTAGAGAGGGCTCATGGTATAAATTGCACCGGCTTTGACAGTTAAGGTAAGATTTAAATAGTATGACAGCTGAGGATGACAATTAGACAAGGCAAGAGTCCAGGGGCTAAACTGGACTTATTCCGAGATTCCAATGATTAAATAAAGGGCATACCTTTTCTGCTCCTTTGAGAAAAGACCAGATGCATGCAGCAGATCATACGTCCTAGGGTATGTATCAAAGGGCTCACACCTACCCATGGAAAAGGCAACATAATATTCAATTCAGGGCAGAAATTTTGATGCTATAAGTTTAATACAATTACATCAAAACAAATAATAAGCTTGCTGACCATTATAATCAGCCACGCTGGTTAAAACTAATCTATGACCACTCATTCTGACTTGTGAATTCTGATAAAGAAGAATTCATAGCGGTCCAGGAATACAAGAGGCAATCAGGAAATAGTGCGAACGATCACTGTTCTCTATCCAGAACAGTATTGATTGCAGTATATAAAATTTAAAGTAAACCATTTTGAATCTAGAAAAATAGAAATAATATTTAAAGAACCAAGAATGTACAAAAGTGTACCAGTCATGAGCTACTCCAAGAAGCCCCCGATCAAAAATTACAGGTAATGTATTTGGCTCACTAACAGGAACAACATTCATCACCCACCAATCAAGTTTCCGGCTGATCAATGCAGCTGCAAACCTACATACAAAGTGGGAAGTAAAAACAAGAGTGAGAAAAATAAACAAGATCGCCTCATCTCCATACATAAGCACAGAAGTTCTAGATTTTTTTATCTGCAAAGGGTAGCTAGCCACCAACAAGCAAAATAGAAACAAGAATAGATTTCCCAGAATGGATAGGGTTTCACTAAGCCTACCCCAACTTGTTTGGGACTTAAAAGGCTTTGTCGTTGTTGTTGTTGTTGATAGGGTTTCACTAAAACTATCACAGATAAAAATATTGAACAATTAGATGCGAAGAGATTCATTTTAAACTAAGTGGGTGATAGAAGTAACTTGAGAACACATTTATTTGTACAAATATAGCACAACATCCTCAAACAGTTCCCTAAGAAAACCTTACTCTTCCCATCCAGAGATGTCCTTGTTCGGCTAATCTTTGTTTTAGTTGCAGACTCCAGCCATTCATCCAAAAGTGCCAGTGAATGTATGTGTGTGTTGGGTTGGGGGATTATTTAATTACTCCCACAACAGTGCAGATCTCATTAATGAAAATAAAATACTTCCTCTGATATAAGTCCACTTAGGTTTGTCTTAAGTCACATTTTTAGATTTGACCATCAATATCTTAAATTTCACATAGGTTGAAAGCACAAGGGCTTAATACATAACTCTTTGTTTCAGATAATATATTAACAGATCTTGCTAGTCAAAGTGTCATGTTGGAGACCATGTAGAAGTTCTAATGAACTTATATTTGTGATCAGACATCCAAGGAAGCAAATGAAAGGAAGAGATTTGAGAAAAGTACCCTCCAAATCCAGCTCTCATGTCCATTACATTTCGGAGTTTGAACTTCCTCCACTTAAAGACACGGATATAACCGTCAATTATGTCCTCCCAAAATTTTGTTTCTGCTTTGAAAAGCTCATTCTTTGATGAGTAGGCATCCATTTCAACACCTTGAAGCCTCTTTGGTGGCTCCATTAAGCGTGCAGGCCATTGAACAGGAGTTGGTGCTTCGGCATTCTCTGGAAGCCGACTAATACATGCTTTCAGACTAACATACCTGAGATAAAATAGAACGTAAAGAATAATTAAATTGGGGGGTTTGCAGCAAAGATATG